GCCTGTCCCTGGGCGGCTGGAAAGTTTATACCCCTACGGTGCCACCGTAAGGGTATAAACTTTCCAGCCGCGCTGGGGCAGGTGTCCCCGACGGCGAAAAAGTTTATTCTATACCGTTCTTCGCCCGTTAATGTTCTGGCGTCGACGACCGCCGACGGCCGCCTGCCGACGGCTCGACGGCCCCCGACGACCGCCCGCCGGCCCGCCGACCCGACGGCCGCCGGAGCGACGGCCGCTCGTCCGACCGTCGACTGCTCGACCTCCGACGACGACGTCCGCTGGAGGCCTGAAAATTGGCACCAGCACCAGCACAGGGGTTTGCCTCCACGGGGAGATGATGATCTTAGATCTCGGTGTTGGTGGTAATATCTCGGTCACCTTGGAAGCCAGAATATTACCACCATCACCGAGATCGGGATCGTCTTCCCTCGGCGGAGGCACACCGCCGATCTTGGTATTGGTGTCAATCTCTAGGGCTCCGAGCCCGCACCACCACACCACGAAGGTGCTTTGGTGACGGCTGCCAGCCTGCAGCGCAACATCGTCCAGGGGGAAGCCACCGGGCCCCCCTGACACCGCACTGGCCGCCAGGCCTGGCCCCCATGCGGCCATGCACGGGCCCAGGGCGACGGCTGCACGGATCAGGCCGTCGCGCCGTCCCACTCTGGGCACTTCTGGGCGCTCGGTGCTTCCTTTCAGGGAGACGTAAGACCTGGGTACAGGGCACTCGGAAATCCCCGACGAGACCGTCAAAAAAATGACGAGGCCGAGCCTGCATTTTGACGAGGCCTCCCGCTGCAGACATCCCACGAAACTCCTCCTCGTCAAAATCCAAGGCGCGGTCGTCAAAAAACGATGGCGAACCCGAGTCCTGGCAAACCCGGGTCTTACGCTCCCCCGATCCTTGGCTCACACTACTTCGCTCGCAGAACGCCGGTCCGCCCCTGACCCCGAGGGCGGCGGAGGCAAGTCCCTGCCAGGCCTGACGCAGTGGCTGCGGATCTGTGCCGCAGACTCCGTGCACGGGCACTGCGTTTCATGCCTCGTGCCCTTTTCGGGACCACGCGACCGACTCGAGGCACACTGCCTCCACGCTATCATGTTCTGCCTTGACGACACTCTCGGCGCCGTGCACGGCGCTTCGGGCGCGAGGGTCCACGCGACCGACTCGAGGCACACTGCCTCCGTGCCGTCAGGGTCTGCACTGACGACATGCTCGGCGCCGTGCATGGCGCTTCGGGCGCGAGGGTCGAGCACGCCTTCGTTTCCCCGCCCCACCACGCAGGCAGACGACGCCTACGACCGGCGCCACACCTGGCAGGGCACCTGTCACCAGCGCTGGGGCCCGACGTACCCCGACGACGACGACGGCGACACCCTTCGCTTTCTTTACACTCCGACGCTGTCCGAGCACTGACTGCCGCCCACGTCCCTGCATTGCTCCATCCCCAAGATCACGCTGCCCCTTGGCGCCGATGCCTCCTCTGCCCCTCCGGTTTGCGCCACCAGGCAAGCACCTGGGCAGTGTGGGACCTCCTTCGTGGTCTGAAAAGCGTGCTCCGTCGAGCGAAGCACCTCGCCCGCAATCGGGCCCCACGGGGGGTGTAACCCCCCCCCCCTGCGCCGCGGGGAGGCAAGGCCCTCGCACCTCCCCTGTTCCTGCCTGGTCCTTTTGCTGGCGGGGCCTCGGCGCCGTCGGCGGGGGCGGAGCCGTTGGCGCCCGTGTGTTGCACGGACGCTGGTGCTGGGCCCTGCTGCCCCCAGGCCAAGAGGCGAGACCCTTGCACCCCCATGTAGGGTGGTGCCGTCTGCCTCTGCTCGCATGCGCTGTGTCAACAACTGGCATATGTTGCACGGCCATTGCTTTCAGGCCGTTGCGGGGGATGCCCCAAGCGGCGCTTCTCTTTTCGGACACTGAGGCGCGCATACCGAAGCGTGCTTCAAACCGGTGTCTCTTGCAGCCACAGGTTCGCAGACGGGCCCATGAATGGCCTGATCACCGCAGACCCGATTTTTTCTCGGCCGAGGTCCAAGCGGACCGCGCCAGGGCGGGCGGTCATCCCAGCACCCTGTTATATGTGCGGCGCCTCACGCTGTGCGAGGAAGGCACGTGCGGCCCAAGGGACTGAATGGCCCTGTTGTCTGAATGTTTGCGATGTCTGTCTTTCTCTCTCTCTCTCTCTCTCTCCCTCTCTCCTTCGTTCTCTCTCTCTCTCTCTCTCTCTCGTTATCGGTCTCTCTCTCTCTTTCTCTCTCTCTCTCTCTCTCTCTCTCTTTTCTCTTCTCGGTGATATCTCCAACATGTGTTTGACCATTACTGTTTGGTGAACGATCTGGGCCCAAGCTGGAGTAACAAACGTGAATTCTGAAACTGCTCTGGCAAGCATCGATCACACGGGCAGTCAAACACATCCTTATCCAGCTCCTGTCTCCTCTTCCTCATCCTCCTCCTCCGCCTCCTCCTCTTCCTCCTCATCCTCCTGACTCACTCACTCACTCACTCACTCAAAGTTCTCCTCGTGTATGATTCCCTCCTCATCCTCGTACACTATTATGCACTTTCCCCACCAGATCCTCGTCACCCTCCTATTCCTCCCCCACATTATCCTCGTGCGCCTTCTGATCCTTCTCCTCATCCTCATGATATTCCTCCTCAGCATCAGCATCAGCATCATCATCAACAGCAGCAGCATGATCAGCAGCATCAGCATCAGCATCAGCAGCAGCATCATCATCATCATCACCATCATCTGCATCACCATCGGCATCATCAGCAGCATCAGCATCATCAGCATCATCAGCATCATCATCATGATCATCAGAATCCTCATAATCAGCATCGTCATCAGCATCATCATCATCAGCAGCAGCAGCATCAGCATCAGCAGCATCAAGATCACAAAGCTCATCATCAACATGAGCATCATCATGGGCCGCATCAGCCTCATCAGCATCCGCATCAGCAGCAGCATCAGCACCAGCATCACCAGCATGTGCATCACCCTCAGCACCAGCAGCATCCTCATCATAGTCAACAACAACAACAACAACAACAACAACAACACCACCACCACCACCACCACCACCACCACCACCAACAACAACAACAACAACAACAACACCAACACCAACACCAACACCAACACCAACAGCAACACCAACAACAACAATAACAACAACAAGTTTAAGACTGTTCGCCCTTATCTGCTCGAGTGTCCAATAACGCCTATTTCCCAAACCCTCGATACCCGCCCTCTTCGTTTTCGATCGAACCCCTTTTGGGGGGTATACCTTTCTTTCCTGCAGGCCGGGCCCCGGCAAGCGGCGGGGCGGCCGCGGACCGTCGGCCTGGCCAGCGGCAGCGCTGATCGGCGGGACGGCCGCGGACCGTCGACCCGACCCCAAGAGGGACGGACAGGGGACCGACCACGACAACGACGACGACGTCGACGACGACGGCGACGACGACGACGACGACGGCGACGACGACGGCGACGACGACGACGACGAGCGAAAGCGAGAGCGAAAGAGAACGAAAGCAGGGCCACAAGGACACGAAGTAGGCCACGAAGGGCAACAGCGGGGACACGAAGGGAATGCGTATGGGGCCACGAAGAGCGCAAAGGAGCGGGGGCCACGAAGGGCAGATAATGCGGGGCCGCAAAAGGCAACGATGGGGCCACTGAGGGTAGCAACTGGGCCACGTAGGACAGATGCATATGGGGCCAACACGGGCGCGAACGAGCGGGGGGCACGAAGGGTATACATCTATGGGGCCACGAAGGGCAGCGAGGGGGCCACGAAGGGATGCAACGGGGCCACGAAGGGCAGCGAGGGGGCCACGAAGGGCTGCAACGGGGCCACGAAGGGCTACGACGGGGCCACGAAGGGCAGCGAGGGGGCCACGAAGGGCTGCAACGGGGCCACGAAACAAAGCGAGGGGGCCACGAAAGACTGCAACGGGGCCGCGAATGGCAGCAAGGAGGCCACGAGGGGCTGCAACGGGGCCACGAAGGGCAGCGAGGGGGCCACGAAGGGCTGCAACGGGGCTACGAAACAAAGCGAGGGGGCCACGAAGGGCTGCAACGGGGCCACGAAGGGCAGCGAGATCCCGATTCATATGTAATATGTGAGGGAGTCCTCAGCGTGAGCGCGACTCCTGGGTGCCTGGGTATCGGGAGCGCGGCGCTTGAGTAAGTTGCAAGAAGTTCCAACGCAAGGGCGCTATTCTTCAGTAAATTGCAAGCAAGTCTCCAGCGAGAGCGCGACTAGAGAGCGCTGGGAGAATAAATTCTAAGGAAGTCCCAAGCGAGAGCGCGATTCCTGAATAAAACGCGAGGAAGTCTCGGGCGGGAGCGGGGGTCCTGGCTAAATTGTGAGGAGGTCTCAGGCGGGAGCCGTTGTTGTTGTAAACCGGGTGCCAACGAACCAGTTTGACCCTCAAGACTTTCCCTGATAAAAAACAGGGTGCGAGCCCGGAGAAGGGCACTTCAATCGAAAAAACAAGGTGCACCGGACGAGGGGGAACAACAATAATTATTCTTCAGAAATGAGAACTCAACAACAGCAGCATCAGCAGCACGATCGGCACCATCACAATCAGCATCAGCATCACCAGCATCAGCAGCATCAGCATCAGCATCGACATCATGGTCATCATCATCAGCATCATCAGCATCATCAGCATCATCAGCACATCACCACCAACAGCATCAGCATCATCGTCATCGCCATCATCATCATCGTCATCATCATCATCAGCAACATCATCATCATCATCAGCAGCAGCATCATCATCATCATCAGCATCATCATCAGCAACATCATCATCATCATCATCATCATCATCATCATCATCATCATCATCATCATCATCATCATCATCATCATCATCCTCATCATCCTCGTCCTCATTCTCATCATCCGTCTCCCTTTTTGAACCTCCCCAAAGACTGGAAAAGGGAAAGGCCGATGGCGCATAGCACGGTGCCAATGGAATCCTCGTCCGTGTCCTGGTAGTCCCAGCTGGGTTGCTCCTGGCTCCTGGGGCGCGGAAGGGGAAGCGGGAGGAGGACAACAGGGAAAGAGGAGGAGGGGGAGATGTAGCAGGTGGGAGAAAGGGGGGAGCAAAAGAGAGAGAGAGAGAGAGAGAGAAAAAAAAAAAAAAAGAGATAGCCAGGAACGGTGTTCTTACACGGTTCGGGATCGTCAAGATGCGACAGTGACGGTGATTCGCGGCGCGGAAGTCCCAGGCATGGCGTCCTGGCACACTTCCAAATGCTCCAACGATTGTCCTCCAACGGGGCCCTTCCATCAATGGAACTGGATCCGTGTAGGAACCCATGAAGAAGGAACTTGGGTGGAGGGTATCTTGCTTTACAGTCGTCCTCCTCGTCCGACTCCTCTTCCTCAGACTCCTCGTCCTCCCCCTCCTCCTCCTCCTCCTCCTCCTCCTCCTCCTCCTCCGCCTCCTCTTCCTCCTCCTCGTCCTCCTCCTCCTCCTCATCATTATCCCCCTCGTCCTCCGCCACCTCCTCCTCCACTCCCGTTCCTTCTGAAAACTCCTCCCCGTCGCACCCCGAGGCAGGTCAAAAAGGCGGGCCAGGCGTGACGCCTCAGCTTTCCTCACCACTTATGATCCTGAAACTTCAAATTCGGAAAGGTTTCACAGATGGAGGGCGGCCCGCTTTCAAAATGTGGCCCTCGCCGTAGCGCCGCGAGCATTCGTATTAAATGTTTGCAAGAGCTTCGCGGATGCAAGGCGGTCCGTTTTCAAAATGTGGCTCTCGCATTAGCGCCGCGCAAATTTATGTTGAACGGTTGCAAAAGCTTCATGAATGGAGCGCGGCTCCCTTTTGTTAATGTGGCTCTCACCTTAGCGCCGCGCACACTCGTCGTAAGAATTTACCAGGGTGTCGAGGATTATCATGGCTAGCGTCCCAGAAACGGTGGGTTGGCACGATGTCGGAATGTCAGGGCACAACAGTCGCGTTGATTCGCGGTGTTGAAGTCCCAGGAACGGTGTTGTTACACGATTCGGGATCGTCAAGACGCAACAGTGACGGTGATTCGCGGCGCGGAAGTCCCAAGTATGGCGTCCTGGCACAATTCCAGGTGCTCCAACGGTTGTCCTACAACGGGGCCTTTCCCTCAATGGAACTGGATCCGTGTAGGAGCCCATGAAGCAGGAACTTGGATGGAGGGTATCTTGCTGTACAGTGGTCCTCCTCCTTCTCCTCTTCCGCCTCCTCTTTTGTTTGGTGGAGTAGGATTGTGATCGGCTTGGGCCCTCACCAGCGGTCACAGCAGCAGCGGGCCCCAGCACGTGGAGCGACTGCAGACTGGGAGGGGCAAGAGGGAGGAACGGTGAAGAGGAGAAAGGGCAATGGGGAGGAAACTGGACAAACCATCGATCACTGCGCCCTTCGCTCTGCCTCGCCGCCACTCCCGCACCGCGAAGCGAGCGACTCCCCCCCCGCCCGCGAAGGCGGCTCCGTGGGCCCTCGAGGAGCACGGCGTGGATCGTCTCGCCGTCCCTCCCGCTGGAGGGCGGGTTCCTCCGGGAGCGCAGGCGCTTCACGAGGCCGATCTTCTTGGTGGGGAGGGGGAAGTCGATGCGCACGCCGTCCTCTCGGGTGAAGAGGAGGATCGAGGAGGGAAGACGGAGGAGGACGGAGGAGGAGGGAGGAGGAGGCAGGACGGAGGACGGAGGAGGGAGGACGGAGGAGGAGGAGGACGGAGGAGGGAGGAGGACGGAGGAGGCAGGACGGAGGAGGAGGACGGAGGAGGAGGAGGACGGAGGAGGGAGGAGGAGGCAGGACGGAGGAGGAGGAGGAGAAGGACGGAGAAGGAGGCGGAGGAGGGGGGGCGGAGGACGGAGGGCGAGTCGGTGCGCACGCCGCCCCCTGGGAGGGAAGGAGGGAGGAGGGGGGAGGGGGAAGGGCGGCGGGAGGGAAGACAGAGGAGGGGGCATGGAGGACGGAGACACATACTTTGATTATTGAATCGCTTCGCTCATTCCGCCGGCCCGTGATATGGCATCGCTGGTTTTTGTCTGTGTGTTCGTTGCCCATGTTGCGCTCTTGGGGGCGGGTGTCGTTCGGACGCGTTGCGTGGGGAGTTTTGATGGTGAAGCAGTTCCCTGGGGGTCGTCTCTCGATGGGGCGAAATAGAGTCGTCGTCAAGATGCTTCTTTGGGGGGCCTCTTGGGGTCTGTTGAGAGGCCGTTCGGGGGCGCCTGGGAGACATGTTTGAAGCCTTCTGGGGCTTCTTTTGGGCCTCCTGGGAGTCTCCTGGGGCCTCTTGGCGACATCTTGGGGCCTCTTGGAGGCCTCTTGGGGCCTCTTTGGGACCTCCTGGGCGCCTTCTGGGACGGAGGGCTCCATTTTTGAGTTCTCGGTATCCCTCCTGAGTCCCTCTTGGGCCCGTCTTGGGGCCTCTTGGTCCGTCTTGGGCGGCACTTGGGCCGTCTTGAGGGCTCTCTTGGGTCGTTTCGGCGCCGTCTTGGGAGCTTCGTGGGCCGTCTTGGAGCGGTCTTGGGGGCCTCTTGGGCCGTCTTGGAGCGTCCGGAAGCCGAAAAAGCCAGAACACAAAAAACATCGAAAAAAAAACAATGAAAATCAACGATTTTGGCCTCTTGGGGCTCTCTTCGGAGGCCTCTTGGAAGGCTCTTGGGGCGTCTTGGAGGCCTCTTGGGCTGTCTTGGGGGCCTTTTGGGCCGTCTTGGGGTCATCTTCGGCGTCTTCGAGCGCTCTTTGGGCGTCTCGGGGGCCTCTTGGGCAGTCTTGGGGGCCTCTTGGGGCACTCTGAGCGCGCTCTGGGGAGCCTGAGAGGCCGCACCCAGAAGGAAAACCATCTCTGAGTAGACTTGGTCGGGCGGCGGTCGGGCGGCGGTCGGGCGGCGACCGGGCGGCGACCGGGCGTTGGTCGGGGTACTTTTCGCCGGGGGACCCCCAGGGGCCGCCCCGCGCGCGCGAACTAGAAATACTGTTAATACTGGTAACCAGTTACCGGAGATCTTAGCACGCCCTGGCCCGTTGGGCCGGCGAATTCCTCGAATTCTGATTCAGACTCCGGGGGCCGTCAATGGGCAGCGGGGCCATCGAAAACGGATCTGGTCCGAAAAACAACGCGCGGGAATACCTGGAGTCGCGCCACATCGGCGGACCAAATATGGCAGCACCCCTGTCCAGGGCTCAGAAACGTACCAAGACGCATTGAGCATCAGAGATATACGGCTCAAGATGGCCTCAAGTCGGCGCCGAGATGGCCTTAACACGGTCAAGGATGGCACCAAGACGGCCAAAGAGGCCCCAAAGAGGACCCCCATACGGCCCAAGGGTCCCCTGGGGGGCCCAAGAGCACCTCCAAAGGCCAAAACAATGATTCTCCCATGTTGCATGACTCTTGCATGTTCGCCCTTCTCAACTCCCAGAAGCCCATGACGGCCCAAGCAGCCTCCAAGACGGCCCCAAGACTGCCCCAGAGGCCTCCAAGAGGCCCCCAAGAGTCCCCGGAGGAGGAGGAGGAGGAGGAGGAGGAGGAGGAGGAGGAATCGGCCCCGAGAGGTCCCCCAAGACGGCCTCCAGCGGCGCCACACTGCAGCGCAAGAGCGTCCCAGCACGGCCCAGGAGGTCCTCAAAGAGGCCCCAAGCGGGCCTCCAAGAGGCTTCCAGGGGCACCCAAGAAGCCTCCACCCCAAAGAAGCCCCCAATCGGCCCACAGAAGCCACCAAGACGCTCGCGACGTTGTACACGAATGGCGCGCCGTTGCTGTGCTCCTTGGAGTTTGGACGTGGCGTTGCCTTGTGCTAACACGCGGTGGATGCTCATTGCCCTCGTGGACGTTCGCACGCTCGTCCCGGCGCTGCAACGCAGGGGGAGGGGGCGCATCCGCCCCCCGTGGCGCCGGCAGCGCCCTGGGCCGGGCAGAACGGCACGGCAGGGCGGCGCGGCAAACGAGCAGGGCAAGCCACACAACGCCCAATCTGAACGTGCTGCGGTCGTGCACCCCGCGAGGCGAAAGGAATACACGTCTGGACTGAAGCGAAGCGTCTCGGCAGTCCGAAAGGACGGGTGTATATCGCAAGGGCCTCCGCCGAATCGCCGACGAATTCGGTTCATCTTGCAATTCCCCCTGAAAACCACACAGGGAGCATTACTGATTTGAGCATCTTGGGCTTCCTAGAAGCCCAAGAAGGCCTCAAGACGGCTCAAGATGGCTTCAAGACGGCTCAAGACGGCCTCAAGACGCCCAAGGGGACCCCAAAACCGCCTCCAGATGGCAAATACCTTGCTTTTTCCCCAGGTAACTGAAGGATTTTAGCGTTCTCGCATACGTGTCACCCTCTCAGCAGCCTCTAAGATTGCCTTTCTACGACCCAAGAGGACCCCAAGACGACCCACGAGCACCCTAAGATGGCCCAAAAAGGCCCACAAGACAGTACAAGAGGCCCTCAAAAAGGCCCAGGACCATCCCAAGAGAGCCCCGAGACGGCCCCGAAGGCCCCCAAGATGGCCTCCAGAGGGGCCACAGGGCGCAAGAGCGCCCTAAGGCAGCCCAAAACACCCCAAAGAGGTCCCAAAGAGGCCCCAAGAGGCCCCAAGAAGCCTCCGAGAGAGGCCCCCAAGAGGCTCCCAAGAGTCCCCACAACGACAGGACTGTACGTGGTCTGGACGTGCACCCCGAGGAGCGAGAGGAATCTCACGACTGAAAACCTTACCCTATCACCTCAGCACGGCAACAACCAGAGGACCAGCTATGCACGTCGCTCGAAGACGTCAGGCGATTGAGGCTAGCTCATCATCATCATCATCATCATCATCATCATCATCAGCATCATCATCATCATCTTCATCATCGTCGTCGTCGTCATCATCATCATCATCATCATCACCACCATCACCACCACCACCGTCCATCCATCCATCCATCCATCCATCAATCAATCAATCAAGTATCATCGTCATCGTCATCATCATCATCATCATCATCATCATCATCACCAACATCATCCTCACCCTCTCCCCCTTCTCCTCACCCTCCTCCGTCCCCCATCTTTTACGACCGACGACGACGAAAACAACGACGACAAGGACGACAACAAAAACGACGACAAAGACAAGGACGAAGACAAAGACGACGACGAAGACGAAAACGAAGCCGAAAACGACAACAAAGACGACGACGAAGCCGAAGACGACGACGACGACGACGACGACGACGACGACGACGACGACGGCGACGACGACGACGACGACGACGACGGCGACGGCGACGACGGCGACGGCGACGGCCGCAGCGGGGAAGCCTTCAACAAGATAGGCCTGCTCTCGTCCCCCACGCTCTGGTGCATCACCGGGCTGTTCCGGTACCTCGGCCGGAAGAGGGGGCGCTGGAGGGCGACAAAACACGCGGGTGTCCAGCGCCTGGAAGAGATGAGGCTGGGTAGTCGAAGCCAATCTGGCGCCAATCTGGCAGGCCCAATCTGGCAAACGGGGGCAATCTGGCGAGGGAGCCAACGCGAATCCAGTCTGGCGAATAACCCAAACCATCCAGTTTGGCCAGGCCAGATTGGCCATTGGGGCCCAATGCAGTCTGACAGTCTGGCCTTCGACTACCCAGGAGGGGGCGCTGGAGGGCGACAAAACACGCGGGTGTCCAGCGCCTGGCAGAGAGGAGGGCGGACCGTCGGGTCCACCGAAGAGGGGGGTCAGGAGGAGGGAGGGTTAGCGAATTTACGGCCCGACGCATGTGCGCGGACGAGGGGGGGGAGCCAGGAGTGGGGCGACATGAAATCTGGCAGACTTCAAGGCGCCAGCCAGGATATCCATGACATAACCCCCCCTATCGAGGCTGGGGTCATACGCCCACCTCCGCGTAGTGTTTGTGTCCATGTTTTGTCTGCACGATCGTTCATTTGAAAGAACGCCTGACAGCATACTGGCCAGACGGGCATCACGTTCCCCCCGCCGCCATCTTTTGCAAACCTACTATTCGGTGCACATGCGTGGATCTAAAAAGTGGTCTTGCTCTCGGAATCCCCTCCGAAAAATACGATGCGGTGCACATGCACGCGCCGCCGCGCGTGCATATCGAACTGTTTCAAAACCATTCACTGTCGAACCGTTTCATCAGATATGAAGGGGCCCCAGGACACACAAATAAAGACACACAAATAAAAATATCCCCCATATTTTCCTATAGTTTCTGGGTTTCTGTCTTCCCCCCCACTTCCCATATTTTCCCATATTTTCTGAAGAATCGAAGATTAATTGTGTCTGTGTGTCTTTTCCTCTCCTGAAGATAGCTGGTCATAAACTACTAAACACGATGGGCTCTTGCCTCGCGAGATCCACGAGATCTGCGCGCACACTCGCTGAGATCATGGGAAGACCAGTATGGACGTTGGCAATTGAGATCATGACGCCCACACGCACGCGCATGCCGAGAACGCTCAGCATCCACCGCGCGGCAGCAAAGCCCGTCAGATTACCATGTGCGGGCCACACGCGCGCGCCTCCGCGAGCACGTCTGAAGAATCCATCAAAATCCTTGGTGTCCCGGCATTTCACCAACTAGGAGTTCACATGCATACGAAAACCAACCAGCGACATCACTGCAATCGTCATCGTCATCGCCACCATCACCATGTTTGATGTCAGTATCACCACCTCCGTCTTCATCGTCATCGTCAATGTCGTCGCCACACTGCCGTGTCCTAGGCAATCGTCGTCATCATCATCATCAGCATCAGCATCAGCATCATCACGATCATCATCACCACCCACATCATCATCATCATCATCATCATCATCATCATCATCATCATCACCACCATCACCACCACCACCGTCCATCCATCCATCCATCCATCCATCAATCAATCAATCAATCATAGTTATCCTCAGCACCATCATAAGCATCATCATCATCAGCAGCATCAGCATCATCATCATCATCGTCGTCACCGTCATCATCATCAGCATAATCATCATAATCATCATCATCATCATCCTCATCATCATCATCGTCATCGTCATCGTCATCGTCATCATCATCATCCTCTTCCTCATCCTCATCATCATCAGCATCATCATCAGCAGCAGCATCGTCATAGTTCCTGCCCGAGGGCCGCGGCGGGTTGCTCGGACGGAGGCTAGCGGTCGCGTGATGGCGGGACGGCGACGGCCGCGACGGTGAAGCAGTCTGGCGGCTAGGGCCGGGCTGCTTCCCGCAGGAGGATGAGGAGGAGGAGCGAGGAGCGAGGAGCGAGGAGCGAGGAGGAGGAACGAGGAGCGAGGAGGAGGAGGAGGAGGAGGAGGAGGAGGAGGCTGCGTGCTGACGACGGGATGGGGGGGGCTTCCCGCAGGCGCGGTCCGGCGGCAGCGCGCGGCGTGTCGGCCGCCTGCCCCGACGGCACCTGGCCCGGTCCCCAAAACCCAGGGGTGGTGCTCGGGCGCGCTGCCGCTTACCAGCGCCACCATGCGAGATCCGTCGGCACTCACGAACACCATGTGTACGAGACCGATGTTGCATCACAGCAGCAAGTCGGCCCCTGACTTTCGTCCTGGGCTCGGTTTCGTGAAGTGATGAATTTCGGGGTCCTTACGTGGGAAAAAACATCACTTCACTAATCTGGGGCCCCTGGGGCCTCAGTGGGCCCTGGGGCCGAAAAGTAGTGAAGTGATGGTTTTCGGGCCTCGGACATGTGGCGAGGATGGAGTGCCGACGAGCGAGCGGCAAAAACAGACCATCCGTGGGCACAGGCGCAGGCTTGGGCGACGGGAGGGGCGCCGCGGCAGGGCGCGAGGGAGCCGAGAGGAGCGAGATCGGAGCGCCGGCCAACCTGGCCGAGGGCAGGGGCAGAGGGGCAAAGCAAGAGCCTGCCGCCGGCAGAGGGCCTCCGGGAGCCGCGGGGCGCGGGGGAGGCGCCCGCGGCGCCGCGCAGGAAGCAGGAGGGCCGTGCCGAGGAGGAGGCAGGCGAAGCAGAGCGATCGGAGGCCAAGGGCGGAGGCCAGGCAGGCCTCGGGTCAGAGGGCGCGCTCCTGGAGAGGGCCGTGGCCAGGGCGGCAGCCGAGGCCGACGTCGGGGGCGAGGATGGTGGGGAGAGCTACGATGGCAGCGCCAAGTACAGCGTCCAGGAGAGCGAGGAGGCCTCGGGCTCGGCGAAGGAGGGAACGTAACCGAACTGACGGAGCTGAAGGGCGACTTGGACGGGCCAGAGGTAGAAGAGGGGCCCCGGGAGGCAGCCAGGTCGGCAGACGAGAAGGACGGCACGAGCGCCCCGAGCCTGGCGAGGGAGCTCGGCACCGAGCGCGTCTCGCCGTCAGCCCGCGGGCACGCGCTCCTTGCAGGGCGTATGCTGGGCGGAGAGCCTGGGCATCGACGCCGGGGCCTACGTCAACGAGGCCGACGGTGCCCTGTGGGAGGCGGCCCGCGCCGTGGTAGAGCTGGCGACGGAGCAGGACACGAGCTGGGCACGGGCCTGGAACACCTGCTGGCTCTCTTCGGGCAGGAGGAGGAGGAGGAGGAGGAGGAGGAGGAGGAGGAGGAGGGGCGAGGGCGAGGGGGAGGGGGAGGAGGAGGAGGAGGAGGAGGAGGAGGAGGAGGAGGAGGAGGAGGAGGAGGAGGAGGAGGAGGAGGAGGGGGAGGAGGAGAAGGAGGAGGAGGAGGAGGAGGATTTGTTTGATATCCACGGCCAAGGACCCCAGTGATAGTGCGAAAGGAAGTCGGAAAAAGCGAAAACCGCTCAACCCGACTCGAATGATGCCCTCAACTCGGTTAGTCGGAGGAGCCAGACTCTTCACCCGCCTCCAGAGCGGGGGATGACCTTGCCTGGCTCTTGGCTACCGGGCGGGCTCTATCCCGCAGAGACCCTCTCTCGCACGAGGAGGCGGCGGCCGCGGCTCCCGCTCTGACAGCGGGGGGGGCACGCGGCCTCTGCGAGAAGAAACAGGGAGGCTTCCTCCTCTGCGTCAAAATCAGGGCCAACCGCGGATGGCGGTGGCGGAACTGAAACGCCCGAGATTCCCTTCCCCCCCCCCCCAGCCGCTCACCCCCAACTCCCCCTCCCTGATGTAGGCGCGGCAGCACAGAGGTGGCTGGGCGGTCCTCGGCAGGGAAGCCAACTCTCGCGTCGGCCTCTGTCGTCGGCGTCCTGCCGATCGGCATGATCGTCTCGAGGTCAGCGCGGACTCCCTTCTTCTTGTGATCAGGGTGTAATCCACGGCCCAATCTGGACAAAACTTCGCTGCGCTTTGGCGGATGTTCAAGGCATTGCTTGGCAAGACCTCGGAGCTGCACTCCCGAGGTAAAACAATGGCAGGACTGGCATACACACGCAAAGCTACCGTCCGAGAAGTCGATCACCGCGCAGCGGTGGCCCAACTGGCGTAGCGAAGCAGGGTCCACCTTCAAGACCCTACTGCAGACGCCGTCGGGGGGCTTCGAATTGCTGCGGGAGACCCTGAGGCAGAGGGGGCACTGCCAGAAGCTGCCCACCCAATTCCAGACATGGGCGGGTCCCGAACTCCTCTGTGGTCGAGCTGCAGCGGGTGTGCGCTCAACTCCTGTGAGGTCAGTGCGGGGCCACGAGGAGGAGGAGGAGGAGGAGGAGGAGGAGGAGGAGGAGGAGGAGGAGGAGGAGGGGGAGGAGGGGGGGGGGGGGGGAGGAGGAGGAGGAGGAGAAGGAGGAGGAGGAGGGAGGAGGAGGAGGAGGAGGAGGGCGGCTTCGGCGAGCAGGCCGAGGCGCGCGGCACGAGCAGCGCGAGGCGCGGAGGGCGGGCCGCGATCGAGCGCGGCAGGGGCGCCAGGCGAGGAGCCAGAGCCAGGAGCGCGGCAGGGGCGGCGCCCCTTCCTCCTCCTCCTCCTCCTCCTCCTCCTCCTCCGCCTCCTCCTCCTCCTCCTCCTCCTCCTCCTCCTCCTCCTCCTCCTCCTCCTCCTCCCTCCTCCTCCTCCTCCTTCCTCCATCGTGATGATGATGATCGTCACCATCATCAGCATCTGCATCATCATCTGCATCATCATCATCATCATCTCATCATCTCATCATCATCATCATCATCATCATCATCATCATCATCATCATCATCATCATCATCATCATCATCATCATCATCATCATCATCGTCATCATCATCATCATCATCATCATCATCATCATCATCATCAGCAGCATGAGCAGAAACATGATGATGCTCATCATCACCATCATCAGCATCTGTATCAGCATCAGCATCAGCATCAGCACCACCACTACCAGCATCATCATCAGCAACACGATCGTCGCGCATCCTCATCAGTATCGTAGTCATCAGCATCATCAGCAGCATCATCGATATCATCATCATCATCATCATCATCATCATCATCA